ACACCGCAGATTTCAAGCAAACCACCAGTGGCTATAAGAGAGGCATGGATCATACTCTGTAGCACAGCCCTCAGAAGGAACCAAGGCTGCCAACACCTTGATCTTGGACATCTAGCCTCCAGAACTGTGATACAATATAGTTCTTTTAAGTCACCCAGTTTGTGGTACTTTGTTACGGCAGCTCTAGAAAACTAACACACATGTGTAAACTGATTTTCATTCCTCTTTTACAGGGCTGGGGCTAGGGTGAAGCAAATGAGACACATGCCTCAGGCACAACATTTAAGGGGCACAGAAATGCACTTAGTAATAGATAATATCTTAATGCTTTAAAAATTGAAATTAATGCAAAAAAATAAATGCCAAACAAAAGATCAAAATTTTAAATAAAGCCCTGGCTGGTCTGGCTCAGCGGTTGGAGCATTAGCCCCTAGACCAGAGAGACCTCGGTTCAGTTCCCGCTAAGGGCACATACCTTGGTTGCAGTTTGTCCCTAGCCCCGGTTGGGGTTGTGTGGGTGGTGGCCACTAGATGTGTCTCTCTTGCATCAATGTTTTTCTCTCTCTCTTCCTCCCTCACTCCCTCCTGCTTTATCTGAAGATAAATGCAAAAAAATATGTCCTCGGGTGATGTTAAAAAAATTATTAGTAAGGGCATCATCCAGAGATAACCTCTCTCAGCATTGGAGTGTATATTCTTCCAGATGCTTTACATTTGTACTTGCAAATATGTTTTCAGAAAAGGTATCATACTATGCAAAATTTTTGGTAATCTTTTTTTAATCTTCACCCAAGTGCGTGTGTGTGAAGGAAAGAGAGAGGGAAAGAGAGAGACATTGATGTGAGAGAGAAACATTGATTGATTCCCTCCTGTACATGCCCTGACCGAGGACCAAACCTACAAACTAGATATGTACCCTGACCGGAAATTGAACTCACAGCCTTTTGGTGTACGGGACAATGTTCCAAACAGCTGAGCCACCTGGCCAGGGCAGTTTTTAGGTACTCTTAACTTGTTAATTAGTCTTGTGAGTTATCTTCTCATGTTAAAAAATCTACATGTACAAAATAATTTTTAATGATTTCATAGCATCGGAATAAATGGATGAACCTTAATGTATTTAACCAATATCTTAGAGAATACTAAGCTTCTACTACTTTTTACTGTTATACTCAACACTACAAATAACCATTATTCTGATGATTTATTTTTTAATTTAAATTTTATTTTCAGTTTACATTTAATATATATGTATATATTTAAAAATTTTTTTATTAATTTATTTTTGTTACAGATGTTTCTCCTTTTTTTCCTATTGGCACCCTCCTCCCCATCCCTCACACCCCATACCCGGCTTTGTTGTCCGTGTCCATCGGTTATACATACATGCATATAAGTTCTGTGGTTTATCTCTTTCCTCCCCCTACCACCCCCTCTTCTGAGGGTTGTCAGTCTGTACCCTACTTTCGGGTCTCTGGGTCTATGCAATTCCTCAGACTGTTATGTTCATTATATTCCACAAATAAGTGAGATCATGTGATATTTGTCTTTCTCTGCTTGGCTTGTTTTGCTTAGGATAATACTTTCCAGGTCCCTCCATGTCATCTCAAAGGATAAGAGATCTTTCTTTCTTAGAGCTGCATAGTACTCCATTGTGTATATGTACCACAGCTTTTTTATTTATTTGTCTACTCATGGACACTTGGGCTGTTTCCAGATCTTAGCTATTGTAAATAGTGCTGCTATAAAAATGGGGGTACCTATATTCTTTCTGATTGGTGTTTCAGGTTTATTAGGGTATATTCCTAGAAGCAGGATCACTGGATCAAATGGCAATTCAATTTTTAATTTTTTGAGGTGACACCATAGTGTTTTTCATTGTAGCTGCACCAGTCTGCATTCCCACCAGCAGTGTACTAGAGTCCCCTTTTCTTCACACCCTCGCCAACACTTATTTGATGATTTGTTGATGGCAGCCATTCTGACAGGTGTGAGGTGATACCTCATTGTTGTTTTAATTTGCATCTCTCTGATGATTAGTGATGTTGAGCATTTCTTCACTGTCTCTTGGCCATTTGTATGTCCTGTTTGGAGAGGTGTCTATTTAGCTCCTCTGCCCATTTTTAAATTGGGTTCTTTGTCTTCCTTTTGTTGAGTTGTATGAGTACTCTCTATATACTGGATATTAACCCCTTATCTGATATATCATTGGCAATTATACTCTTCTATACAGTGGGTTGCCTTTCCATTTTGATGGTTGTTTCTTTTGCTGTTCAGAAGCTTTTGAGTTTGATGTAGTCCCCTGTGTTCACTTTCTCCTTTGTTTCTGTTGCCTTGGGTGATGTATCATCGAAACTTTTGCTGTGTATGATGTATGAAATTTTGTTGCCTACAATTTCTTCTAGGATTTTTATGGATTCATGAGTCACATTTAAGTCCTTTATCCATTTTGAGTTTATTCTTGTGTATGGTGTAAGTTATGGTCTAGTTTCATTTTTTTTTTTGCATGTAGCTGTCCAATTTTCCCAACAACATTTATTAAAGAGGCTGTCTTTACCCCAATGTATGCTCTTGCCACCTTGGTCAAATATTAATTGAGCATAATGTCTTGGGTCCATTTCTGGGTTCTCTGTTCTGTTCCACTGGTCTATATGTCTGTTCTTGTGCCAGTACCAGGCTCTCTTGATTACAGTAGCTTTGTAGTATAACCTGATATCCGGTATTGTGATTCCATCTACTTTGTCCTTCTTTTTCAAGATTGCTGTGGCTATATGTGGTCTTTTTTGGTTCCATATTTGTTTTACTTCTGTGAAATATGTCATTGGTATTTTGATAGGGATTGCATTGAATCTATAGATTGCTTTGGGTAATATGGACATTTTAATGATGTTAATTCTTCCAATCCTTGAACAAGGTATGTGCTTCCACTTTGTTATACCTTCCTCTATTTCTTTTTCCAATGTCCTGTAGTTTTCTGTAAATAGGTTATTTATTTGGTTAAGTTTATTCCTAGGGCGCTGCTCACAGCTAAGACCTCTGCTCTCTGTGGGCTCCCAGCCCTTCTCTCGTGCCTCCGCAATCCTACCAGGATCAATTTAGTGTTCCTGGTTTTATGGTCCTCGCAAGCTGCTTTTCTGTTGCTTTTTCCTGATGATTTGTCTTTATTTTAGTTGTAATTCCAGTTTGGTTCTGGGAGATGGTCTGGTCTGTGTAGCTTCCATTCACTCTGCCGCCAATTTGGAATCTATTCAGTTTACATTTAATATTATTTTGTATTAGTTTCTGGTGTAAAGCATAGTGGTTAGACAGTCATGTGCTTTGCAAAATGTTCCCTCCACCCATGTTTTCAGTACCCACCTAGCACCATACATAGTTATTACAGTATTATTGACTATATTCCCTATGCTGTATTTTACATCCACATGACTCTTCTGTAACTACCAATTTTTACTTGTTAATTCTTCCACCTTTTTCACCCAGTCCCGCAACCTCCTTTTCCCTCTGACAGCCATTCGATTATTTCTTTAGGCTAAATTATTAGAAGTAAGCTCAGCCAGTGTGGCTCAGTGGTTGAGCGTCAACCCATGTACCAAGTGGTCGCCAGTTCAATTCTCAAGTCATAGCAAATGCCCAGGTTGTGGGCCAAATCCCCAGTGGGGGCATGCAGAAGGCAGCCAATCGGTGTTCCCTCTCATTGATGTTTCTATCTCTCTCTCCCTCTCCGTTCATCTCTCTCTAAAATAAATAAAGAAAAAATGTTTAAAAAATTATTAGAAATAAAATTATTTGGTCAAAGACTGTACAAATGTTATTTCATACTTATTGCTAATTTAACAAAATTTTGCTTTTACTATTGGTTTATGGAAATGGCTCTTTCTCCTTGGTATCATTTGATGTTTTGAATATTCCATTTTGTGAATTGCCTTTCATGTCCTTTATGTATTCTCTCTTTTGGGTTATTTATGTTTTTCAAAGTGGTTTTTTTTTTTTGTAAAGAGGTCTTATATAATGGATATTATCTGGATATTGACTTCTAGTTATTATTATATATACATATGTTGCTAATATTTTCTCCAGTTTATCAGTTGTCTCTTAATTTAAGTTGTATTTTACCCAACCACAAACGTTAACTTTTTTTTCTTTATTGATTTTTTTTTAGAGAGAAAGGGGGAGGGAGAGAGAGAGAGAAACATCGATAAGAGAGACCATCGATTGGCCACCTCCTCATGCCCTACACTGGGGATTTGATCCACAACCTGGGCTTGTGCCCTGACCAAAAATTGAACCAGTAACCTCTTGGTGCACGAGTCAACACTTAACCAGTGAGCCACACCAGCTGGGCATAAATATTACATTTTATGTAGGCAAAACTGTCAATATTTTTATTTATTCTTTACTTTGGAATCATTCTTAGAAAATCCTTATCCACTTCAAGATTATAAGAAAGTAGACCTAAAAAAATATTTTTTAAAATACCAAATGTGTTGTGTTGGGGTACTTTTTCTTTTTTTAAAAAAATCCTCACCTGAGGATATTTTTCTATTTATCTTCAGATAGAGTGAGAGGGAGAGAGAGAGGGATAGAAAGAGAGAGAGAGAAACATCGACATGAGAGGGACACATCAACTGGTTGCCTCCTGCATGACCCTGTCCAGGGCTAGGGACAAACTGCAACCGAGGTACCTGCCCTTGACCAGAATTGAACCCTCAACTCACTGGTCTGTGGGTTGATGCTCTAACCGCTGTACCAAACCAGTCAGGGCTGCCATCTTTAAAATTTTTTTCCAATTACAGTTGACATACAGTATTACATTTGTTTTAGGCATATAACATAGTGATTAGACATTTATATAACTTACAAAGTGATCACCCTGATACATCTGTTACCTGTCTGACACCATACAGAGTTATTACAATATTATTGACTATATTTCCTATGCTATACTTTATATCCCCATGACTATTTTGTAATTACTAATTTTTCTTTCTTTCTTTTTTCTTCAGGGCTCCAGGACCAACTATCACCCGTTGCCCAAGCACCAAAATATTATGCTCCTGAAATCTCTTGGTGTCGATTCCGCACACAGAGCAATCAAGCTGCCCTACATGTGCCACTCACCACAGAAGCCCCTTTTCCACTAATTTTTATTTCTTAATCCCTTCCCCCTTTTTACCCACTCCTCAACCCCTCTTTAACACCTGTGTTTTCTTTTAGTGCAGTCATAGATTAATTTTTATAGTTACATTTTTAATTCATTTAAAGTTCATGTTGGTGTAAAGATTCTGATAATTATTCTTGTTCCTTTTTCCCAATCTTGCTACTGACTTTTTTGGGATCTGTATGATTGCAGCCATCTCCTAGTTAGTATTGTTGCTCATTTTTTAAATTAAAAAATATTATTCATATGATATCCTGGGGAAAAACATTCTAAAACTGTCCATTGGTAGGGGAGGAAAAGACCTCAGAACCCTCTGGCCAATCCTGTTTTTCTAATGTTGTTACTCAATCTTACCTCTCAACTGGAGCTTTTTACCCCAGATGGCCTGCAATAATCATCATCCCCCAAACACGTATTCTTGCCTGTGTGTGTGCTGTTCTCTCCTCATAAAATGCCCTGCCCAAACCCAAGCCCTTGTTATGCTATCTCTAGGAAGTCATTTCTGGAGCACACTGTTCACAGAGTCCTCCCTGCTTTTGAAACTTCTGTAGCACTTGTATATTTGATTCCTAGTTGTTTGCTGACTGGCTTTGTTGTTTAACTTTCTACTTGTATATTTAAAGCCATAGATTTAAGAGTTTCAGTGTTGTGAGAGACTCAAGATATTTGTCATTCAATGTGTTATCTAACATTGAAACCCATCTACAACATTCTTGCTAAGTAGTCATTTAGCTTGATTACCTCTAATAATGAAAAAACTCACTATATTTCATGATTGTCCATGTCATTCTCAGTCACATCCTAATGATTAGAAAAAAACAAATCCTATTATAAGCTCTCAAATCTGTCTTCTTGTGTTTTTCACTCTTGGAGGGAATGTGGGATAACAAATGTGAGGTTTGCTAAAACTAGTTTTGAATCTTGTCTCTACTTGCTAATAACTTTGTGATCTTGGGCAAAATGCTCTACTTCTACTGGGCTTCAGTTTCCTCATGTATAAAATATTGTGGTAAATGAAAATTAAAGTAATTGAATGGGGACATATATGAAAGTCCCTAGCATAGATCTTAGCACAAGGGAGGGTTCAATAAATATTTGTTAAATTAGACAGAATACATCTTCTGGAATCATTCAGATAAAAATCAAACCCTACAGACTAATATTATATATGCTTTGTTTAAGTCTTTTTTTTTTCTCCACTAGATATTTCCAATTACTTGAGTCATTTTCTGATATGATTTCTCATATCATAATGTTCACACCCTCCCCTCCTCCACTGCCTGGTCACTCTCTTCTCAACATATTCCACTTTCTCAGCAACCCCCTAAAAGGATAGGATTCTGAACTCTGGCAGTCATTCCCAAAATCATCTAACCAGAATCCTATTGTTCTGTACATAAGTTACAGAGGCTCTCAAGCCTGGATGTATATTAGAATCACCTGGAGAACTTTTGCAACATACTGATGGCATTTGCAGTCTTTATGTTTTTAGAAGATCCTGGGTGAAAACAGAGTGTTCACATGTTGTAACAGCTGATCAGGTGATTCTAATATGCACAGGTCTGTAAATTCCTTGGGAGCAGATTTGTAATCCCTATCTGAGATGCTTGGAGTCAGAAGTATTTCAGAATCAGGTTTTTTTCCTTCCACCTTTTGGAAAGGTAAAATGGTGCATACATGATTAATATGAAATACACTCAGTGAGTCTGAGTCTTTACCTTGCAGTCAGATACATAAATATTTTAGCAGTGGCAGACATAAACACTCAAGTTAAGTGGAAACAACAAAGACTATATATACCCTCATGTTAGCCTAGACCCAGTTTTGCAGCCAAATGAAATTTGGAATGGAATTTCAGAAGAAAATGGCCGTTTTTAGGACTTCCAAATTATAGGTAAGGGATTTTGGACCAGTCTTTAGTGGTATCTTTTCAGCCCTTCGCCTGGTGTACTTCCTAGACCTATAAGCTTAACACAATTTGTTGAATGAATGAATGAATGAGACAGACTTTTCTATGTAGTATCTGTAGAGGTATTGGTGTATTTCCTAAAGTTGATGCCTCTCCAACAAATAGTGCCTTTGGGCCATAAAACTGGAAATAAATTAATTTGAGAGACACGGAGGAAGAATAAAAATCAATTTGTTCCTTTTTTTTTTTTTGTCACCTCAGGATTTCTATCCTAAAATAAATACATATCAAATTACTGAAACCAGGAGAGGTTTTTCTTTATTGTGTGCAAGGCATCACGTCATATTCTGTAGCAGCCGAGAAAAGGAGTAGAGCACTGCTGAAAAATCTAAATCAACTGAACGTCACAAAAGGAAGAAAACAGACCTTCCTTGACTCAATGTAGTTCAAATTTACAATGGTGAGAAAGCCATATGCACTCAGTAGAAACTGTACTTTGACTTTTTGAATTTTGATCTTTTCCCAGACAAGTAGTGTGTGGTACCAGGCAGTGGTACTGAGCAGTGGTACGTGATCAGGTGAGTAAACATCGGATACTCCACAGTGTACTGTGTTGCCAGGGTTTTTTGGGATGTATTCTGAGCACATTTAAAGTGGGCAAAGCTAAACTCTGATGGTGTATTACATGCATTTTTGGTTTAATACGCTCAGTTTACAATGGGTTTATCAGCATGTAATCCCATTGTAAGTCAAGGAGCATCTGTATTCTGATTTTCTTTCTTTTTTTAAATCCTCTCCTGAGGATATTCCTCTGTCCATCCTCAGATAGAGTGGGAGGGAGGGAGGGAGGGAGGGAGGGACAGAGAGAAACATCGATGTGAGAGAGACACATCAACTGGTTGCCTCCTGTGCAACCCAACCAGGGCCCAGGACTGAACCACAACTGAGGTATGTGCCCTTGACCAGAGTCAAACCCACAACACTGGTTCGTGGGCTGATGCACCAACTGCTGAGCCAAACAGCCAGGGCTGTATTCTGATTTTCAATAGCCATAGTAGTAAGTCCAAATTTAATAGACATTAATAAGATAGAGTTGAAGGAGTTTACAAAATAAACAGAATTAAATTGTAAGAATCAGCAAACATCAAAAACATCAAATAAATCTCCAGTTCTATTTGTTTGCAAATAGAAAGTCTCTGAAGTAATGAGAACTATATAGATATTTAGTGAAGATTGGGGCATACTCAGTCATTTAGGAGAGGAATTTAAAGGCCATTAAGATGGGGTGTGTGTGTGTGTGTGTGTAAATTTATTATATATAAAGATATTTATTATAAGGTTTTGGCTCGTGTGAGTACAGAGACTGGCAAGTCCAAAATCTGTAGTGTGGGCTGGCGGGCTCTAGACCCAGGAGAGCCCATGGGGCAGGTGGAGTTTAAGTGCAGCCTGCTGGAGGATTCCCTCTTGCTTGGGATGCCAATCTTTTTGTTCTATTTATGCCTTCAACTGATTGGATGCGCCCATTCACATTATGGAGAGCAAATTGCTTTACTCAAAGTTCACTAATTTAAATGTTTATTATTTCCAAAAACACTCTCCAAGTTGACACACAAAATTAACCATCACAGCTATCAATTCAAAATAGCGATTCCCCCCTTATCTCAATATTTGACTTTAATTGATTATAGTTAGATTTTTTTCAGAGTCCCCAATGCATATTGCTTTATTTCATAGATTTGGGTTTTTAGAGCTGCACATGTCTAACAAGCTCCCAGGTGATGCCAGTGCAGCTGGTCTGAGGACCACACTATTTTATGTTCCTACCTTCAGACAGAGTGTACAGCAGAACCAAAGGAATATTTTCCAGTCTTTTGAGTTTCAAAAGTTTAGGTGTTCAGGAAAATAGGGAAAAAGTTAGTAAAAAATTTGAAGATTGGAGAGAGGTCATGATGTAAGGAAAATATCACTTGGACTGGATTGCAAAGAAAATCAGAGGGGGATCAAGGAGAACTTTGATGCTACTGTGTCCACAAGAAGATCCCTACTCCTTCCCACCTTTTCTGTTGGAAGACTAAAAACTCCAAGAGAAATGTGGGGAATTTGTGGAGAATTAAAAGAGTCATTCATTGGAGAGGTGGTTAGGTGGGGATTTGGAAAGGAAATTAATCAGTCAGAGTAAGATGTGTCTGATACACTTTTTTTTTTTTTTTTAAGCCATGATAATGATCTGTGTGGTGCTTACTCTGTCCCAGACAGGGGCTGACCAAGTACTTTCCATGTTTTCTTATTTCATTCTCACCACAATCCTCATGAGCCATGGGTAAATATTTCTATTATCCCCATTTTCAGCTGAGGTTCAGCAAGGTGAGGGGTTTCATGCCTGTCCCACAATTAGTAAGTAAGGGACCGAGGATTTCTGATGAGCTTTCCGTGTAGATTCAGTGAACTGATATTTGTCACATACAGCAGCTCCTGATATATAGTAAATACTATATAAATGTTAGCAATTACTACTATGATTCCTTGATTTTAGATTCTCTCCCAATTCTTTCTCTTCTATTCACAGAGCTAGAGTTCACACCTCTTTCTACCCTACCTCTAAGGGACCTTGAGACCTTGAGACCTATTTGTATTCCTTCCCTACCAGAGCCAACCCAACCCAGGTGGAGAAAAGCTGTATCCAAGTCTGTAAGAAATGAGAAGAGAAGGGAAGCATCTTTCCAGAATATGAAGGGAAGTGGTGATACCAATAAGGTGAAGGGATAAGAGGAGAAGACTATAGGAATTAGTGAAGAGAAGGGAAAGAACCCGGGAAGACAGAGCCCTGTGCTTGGCCTCCTTTCTCCAGAGGCCCCAGGCGCAGGTGAGGCTTCTCTCCTCCATGTAGTGTAAAGGAATGAAATAGTTTCCTTGGAAGCTCTGTGACCAATCCCATATCCCCACTTCCTAGTCTTCTACAATTGGCACTTCTCACTTGAACCATTATATAAAGAACTGCTTAAACCATTCTAAGGGTCCTGTGGGTGCATATTTTGTTTGAACATAGGTGAAAGAGGAGGTAACTGGA